CTCATTTGTCACCGATACACTGGTGTCAGATACGTATTCTATCCCTTTACTCTTTTATCTGTGGAACTAACATTTCTGCAGGTATCGGCGAATACAGAGTGATTTAGGATCGCAGAACGTCTTAAATCATTCTCCGTCCTTATCGGCTATTTTGACTATCGTTTTCAAAACTAACATTTCTACAAACTCAGCCAAAGTGGGGCTTCTGCAGACACCTAAAAATGTCTCCCTAAAACCAAACCCGATGATGAACAATCTTTCACCGCCATTATTGGTCGGGTTCAATATTTAATCCCGAGAATGCTTAAAAAATCGTGTTTAATTAAATTCAGTTTTTGAATAAGTCCATGGATCAGTCTTAATGTTTAGTCAAAGCATAGTTCATTTTAAATTTTGGCCCAAACCTTTTTATTTTATTTTTCTTTATTATTTTGGCCAAAACCTTTTTTTTTATAATTATTTTGGCCCAATTAATAATAATAAATCAGAAATGGCCCGAAATTATCAATCGACACTTAAAAATGCTGAACGAAATTAGGGGAAAAATGAATATAAACGGAAAAACGGACTACAGAATCCCGCGTCATGGCAGTAAGCACCGTGTCACGGGATCCAATGTCGCGCCATGGTGGGATTCCCCGTGACACGGTGCCTGTGATGTGACACGGGGAAACTCCATGTCCTTTCTGCGTAAACCCTTCACGTGTTTTATTCCCCGTACCCTATTTATTTCCCGCGTCACACCGTTGTCCACCGTGTCACGAGATTTTGTCCCATCTGACGGTGCCTGGCACCGTGTCACGGTGTACTATGCCGTGTTGCGGTGTTATTTTTTAGGATTTTTATCATTTTAGGTTTCCGTATGTTCCCTCTACTCATTTTTTCTATAAATACCCCCTCATTTTTGATGTACGGGACATCAATTAATTCTCTCCTTTTCTCTCTTCTATGCTCTAGCCTAAACACTAGCCTACCTTTTCAATTTTAAAATTCCCTCTTCAAGCACTCCAAGGAGTCCATACTTTACTCGTGGTTTTGTCCTTCAGCCAAGGCATGAAAGGTAGAACTGTTTGAGGGTTTGGCCCCAAATAAACTCTATTTAATTTAATGTAATTTAATAATTGTTTTATTATTTTTCCTTGAATTTACTAGCTCGTTTATTATTTTATAGTTGCAAGCAAATAGAATCAAAGTAAGAATTATGTTCCTTTTATTTATATTATTTTTCTAACGATTTTATATTGTTGGATTTATTGTTAAATTGCTTCCAATATTAATGTGTGTTCTATTTATATTTATTGATCACCATATTGCATATTTAAAGGGAATATGTAATTGAAAATCACGCCCAATAAGATAATTTGGACAACCGGTTTAGGTTCCTTTTTAATCTTGTTATTAATTCAAGTGATCACGATATTTTAGAATTATGTGTTGCATTAATATTCAACCAATTTAGCTTAATAATAGTTTGGAGCAAATTGAATATTTTGTTTGTATGCCTTTGAGATCGCAGGAATCACTTTTCACTATAAGAATCGAGTAGAGGCCAATACGGGCGAATGTGACTCTATGACTCACTTCGTACCATCATCCCCGATCCTCCTTTCGTGGTTCCGAACCATATAGAGTTAGTAATCTCATGGATTATGAATGGGTTGTAACCTTCACGGGTCAATCGTTGTTGCCTATCGTTGTCCCTTTATCGTGGTTGCCTTAAATGATCCGTGAACGGTTTACAAGTTCCTTAAAAACTTGTTGGCGGCTCCCTACTTTCCTAGTCCCTAATTGTAATGTCAATTCCCACTTCCTATGAGTGTCAAGCATATTCACACATGCTTTAACGTAGGCGCACTTCGTACGACGCCTACATGGACTTTTCGGTCGTTTTCCTCTTTAAAAAGAGGACGATGTCCTCCGTTTTTATTCACCAACAATCACCATCTCTTTCACTCTCTAAGCTTAAGTTTATTCTCTTTCTCCGTCTCTTAAATTTATAAGCCTATCCTAAACACATCAAACACACCTCTTTGATTTTTCTTTGATTTGATCACCATTCCTCATTTACGAGACTCGAATACACATAGCCAAGCTCGAAGTTGCCTTAGATCTCGACGTGAATGATTGATAATTCTAAGGGTTTGGTACCAAATCTATATTTCAATTCTTCTTTGATTTGATATCTATTGAAGTTACTAACGTGTGCATTATTTGATAGAAAGAGGTATGAGACATCAAAGTGAGTAAATTTACTATCTTTATTATTTTTTTGATGTAAAAATCATGCTTAAAATATTATTTTAAAAACTTAGTATCATGTTAGGATATCATTATGATTCCTAGTATCATGTCAGGATGTCTTTATGATTTCTAGTATCATGTTTAGGGTGTTAATTAATATTCCTAATATTATGTTTTCTAGTATCATGTTAGGCTTTGATTTTTATTATTTAGTGACATATTAGGATTTGTTATTATTAATCTGTTTAGAATCATGCATAGGATCTCGCTAATATTATTATTTTGATGAATATTATGATGATGGTTGTTGTGTCAATATTAATAATTATGTTGCTTAATTATTTATATATTATTGTTACTGTTTGATCACGCCTTTTCTGCGGGTTTAAAGAGAATTTATATTTAAAATCACGCTTAATAAAATAATTAATAAATTTGATATAGTTTAATATGATTTTAATCCAAGTGATCGCCAATAATAGATTTATTTGTGCATTAATGAACAACCAACATAGATTAAATATGCTTAGAGTTAATTTATTGATTGTATGTTGATCGAAAAGCGCACATGAATATGATAAGAATAAAGTAGAGGTCTATTTAGGGTGGGTTCAATCTCTTTTAGGTTGAATTTGTACCATTATCCCCGAATATCCAGTCATGATTCAGGACCACTATGGAGTTAACGATCTTTGTGGTAGTGAATGAGGTGTAACTTTCACACCCGTGGACAGTTTATAAGTTCCTAAAACTTATTGTGACTCTTTTGCTCTAGCTTTATTCCCTTTGAACGCTACCATGCTTAAATGCATGATCAAGTGGGGCTCAAATTTGAGAGTTTGAAATATTTCCTACACCAACCACCTTTTTTATAGTAGCCTTTTTATAAGAAAATTGAGCAAATTTTGAATTGAGCTCCGATTACTGCCTACGGTAACTGGTTTTGGCCCGGTTTTAGCCTCCGATTACCAGGGATAACTGTAGGGAATATTTCAAGCATTACCCCAAACTTGAACTCCACTGTGATCACACACTTAAGCATGGTGGGGTCCAAAGGGAAAGAAGCTAGAGCAAAAGAGTCGCCAACAAGTTTTAGAAACTTGTAAACCGTTCATAGGGTTAAGGTTACACCCCTTAACGATCCAGGAGATCGTTAACTCCAATAGGTCTGGAACCGTGACTGGAAGTTCGGGGATGAAGGTACAAATCCAACCTAAAAGAGATTGAATCTGCCCTAATAATTGCCTCTACTTTATTCTTCTCGTATTCATGTGCGCTTTCTGATTAACATGCAATCATTAGGTTTACCCTAAACCTGTTTATCTATGTTGGTTGAATATTAATGCACAAACAAAACTATTATTGGCGATCACTTGAATTATAATCATATTAACCCTAAACAAGATTATTAATTATCTTATTAAGCGTGATTACAAGTACCAATTCCCTTTAAACATGCATAATTGGCGTGATCAAGCAATAACAATAAATATAATCAATAAACAATAAGGAAATTTTGTGTAGAACTACCTTAAAGATAGGGTCATTTGTGAACAACTACCCATTTTTATTTATATGTTTAGAACTACCCACAAGTTTGAAAACATTTGGGTAGCACCACCCATTAACATTTTTCGTCCAATTAAGACGTTATCGGAGCTCACTTTTTTCACTTTTGCCACCCAATTAACTCTCCCAATTTGTATAAAGGTTTTAATTTACCTTAATTAACCTATTTAAGGTTTTAATCATAATTTATTTTAGGATTCATGAGTGTAGTATTATTTTTGGATTTTAATTTCTAAGGTTTGGGGGTTTAATTGAATTGGGATTTTTGCTTATTTTAGCATTAATTGACCATTGTAGTTGAAAAAGGTAAAAAAAAAAATTGGGCCAAAATAACGTTTTAATGGGACGAAAAACATTAGTGGGTAGTGCTACCCAAACTTTTCCAAACTTGTGGGTAGTTCTAAACAAATATAAAAAATGGGTAGTTGTTCATAAATGACCCTATCTTTAGGGTAGTTCTACACAAAATTCCCCAACACTAAGAATCATTATAAGTTATCCGTCACTTAACAAATAACATGAAATAATTCGTAAATTAACAAATTACGTAAAATAATTCGTAAATTAACAAATTACGTTAAATAATTCGTAAATTAACGATTACGTGAAACAATTCACTAATTAACAAATTATGGTAAATAATAATTCGACACAACAATAATCATAATCATAACAGTTATAAAAATAATCATGTTAACAATAAAACATAATAATAGCAAGATCTAGGCATGATACTAACAAGATTGTTAGATAATATGTTAATATTATCTTGTTAATATTCTGTAAAGATATATTTTGTGTAATTTAGGTTATCTCATATTTTAGGTTGTAAATCCTATATATATTGAATTAATGAGAATGCCTCCTCAAGGAGAATTACACTATTCTACATGGTATCAGATTCCTCCTAGGGTTTTTCCTCTCTTCTTTTCTTAAAACCCTAGCGATCCTAGGCCGTTTAGCCGTCTACCACCGTCCTCTCTCCCTCGTCTCAACCGCATCACAGCCGCATACACTCCTTCAATGGCAGGTGATGATGTCCCTAATCCCCCTCCTCCCCCCTCTAACACCTTCCATCCGGCTTATGCCGTCACAAACATCAAGAACCTTATGTCTGTTACCTTGATAAACAGGAGGTGCATTACGCTATTTGGTCCGAACTGTTTCAGATTCAAGCATGTGCCTTCAACATGCTTGATCATATTGATGATAAGGTTAACCGTCCATCGGACATTGATGATGATACATGGAAGCGCTTGGATGCTATTGTGAAAAATTGGATTTATAATTTCATATCTAAAGACCTTGTCCATACTATAATGAAATCGGGTGCTACGGCCCTTGAATTATGGAACCGGCTCAAGGACATATTTCATGATAACAAGCACACCAGAGCAGTTTATTTGGAGGAACAATTCAGCACCACCAAGCTTGAGCAATTCGCCAACATGTCTGATTATTGCATGCACCTAAAGCTCCTTTCCGATCAATTGAGAAACGTTGATGGCCCGGTTTTCGATAGGAAAATGGTTCTACAATTAACTGCGGGTCTCCCTGAAGGGAAATACGACACTGTCGCTGCTTTAATTTCTCAAACCAAACCAACACCGACTTTCAACAAAGCCCGCTCCATGTATATATTGGAGGAGACTAGAAAGACCAAGCAAGAAGACCATGGGCAAGCCCTTCTTGCTCAGAATTCGCAAGCTGTACCCACCTCAACACCATCGCAACAGCAGCCGGCCATCGACCAGCAGCGCAATGGTGGAGGTCGCGGTGGTGGTGGCCGCGGACGTGGCCGTGGCTCCAATAACAAATCTGGAAACGGCAGGGGAAAGGGTCGAGGCAACAATGGTTCTCAGCAGCCTTCTCAAGCAACTAGGCCTCAATATCAAGCCCAGCCGAAAGCCCCTCAGTGGGGAAATCAGCCCACGTGGTCTCAGCAACCATACGGACAATGGGCCTTACCCCCATGTCCGTATCCAACAGGCCCAGGTCCGAATTTTAGAGGCCAACAGCAGCAGTCAGTGTTGGGCCCACACCCTACACATATCCAGCATGCCTACTATGCAGCCCCACAACAAACAGTATACGGGCCGCCTATGACTCCATCAGAATTCGGGCAAGCTTATAGCTCTATGAGCCTTGAACCTCCCGATAACGAATGGTACATGGATACCGGAGCGACTTCTCACATGACTCGTGATTCTGGTAATTTTTCTAAACTGTTTTCTTTGAGTTTTCCTCAATATATTTTGGTTAGTGAGATCAAATTCTTACATGTCCTATCTTCGTATCAGTACGCCGATATTTTCACAAAAGGGCTCCCTCGCCAACTGTTCTTAGATTTCAGAAACAGTCTTAGCGTCCGACCTTCTCCCGCTTCGACTACGGGGGTATGTTAGATAATATGTTAATATTATCTTGTTAATATTCTGTTAAGATATATTTTGTGTAATTTAGGTTATCTCGTATCTTAGGTTGTAAATCCTATATATAGTGAATTAATGAGAATGCCTCCTCAAGGAGAATTACACTATTCTACAAAAATTAATAACAAACCCTAGCATGTTACTAAACAATAAAAATCAAAGCTTTAGCCCTAACATGATACTAACATGCTATTAAGAAATAAAGTTGGAAGCATCATAGAAATCATAATTGACATTATATTCTTTACTCTAAATATGATACTAGCAATATATTGTTGTCATTCTAAACATCAAATTAAGAAAAGCATCCTAACATGATACTAGGAATCAAAATAACAACCTAGCCATGATTTCTATATCATAATATCAATAAAGCAATTAAAGCACTTACTTGGATGCCTCGTATCTCTTCCTAATAATAAAATACACACGTTTGTAACTTCAAGGAAAAGTATAAAATTAAAGATTAAATTAAACGGAAATTTCACCATATACAACTGAGTTTAAGCTTAATTCACTGTATACCACCAAAAACTTTCTAATACACCATATAACCTTCAGTTTTATGGAAATGTCACAACATGCCATTAATGACTAACGGAGGTTAACACCGTTAGTCATTAAGGTTAATAATGCCATGTGGCAGCTTGTGATTTGTTCCCTTTTAAATAATTTAATTTTAAAATAATTATTAGATTAATTATTGAAAAAATTAAAAAAAAAGAAAAAAAAATCAACCACCACCAACGTTCCCCCAGCCATCCACCACCAACGACACCCCCTGCCAGCCATCGCCAACGAACTCCCTCGCCGGTGCGGAATCTGACCAGGACCTCCGCCGGCGCTCCTCCCCTTCCCCTGAACTATCGTGCCTCCCTCTAATACCCCATTGAATCACCTCAAAAACCCCCTACCTCCCTCGAAAAACCGTCCCCTAAACGCCGGCCGACGTCGAAACCCCCCTCCCTCGCGTCGGCAAACGAATTCGCCCTGTCCCGATGAAATATCCACCCCATTGAACCACCACGTATGCCGAAACCTTAAATCCAAAATCTAGGGTTTCGATTTTGGTGTTTTGGGGTTTCGTGGTGGTGGTTTTCGGCAAGTTTCGTGGTGAAGGTTAAAGGGGTTAATCGGGGATGGGATGGAGGTTTTCGGCCTTTTTGCGAAGGTTAGAGGGGTTAATCGGGGCTTGGATGGAGGTTTTCGGTGATTTGCGAAGGTTAGAGGGGTTTTTCGAGGCTCGATGGTGTTTTAAGGGTGGTGGTTATGGTGGTTTCGGGGGTAAAATCACCCCTTGACCCAAATCCTACCCCCGGCTAGATTTAGGGAGGAGCGCCGGCGGAGGTCCTGGTCGGATTCCGCACCGGCGAGGGAGTTCGTTGGCGGTGGCTGGCAGGGGGTGTCGTTGGTGGTGGATGGCTGGGGGAACGTTGGTGGTGGTTGATTTTTTTTCTTTTTTTTTAATTTTTTCAATAATTAATCTAATAATTATTTTAAAATTAAATTATTTAGAAGGGAACAAATCACAAGCTGCCACGTGGCATTATTAACCTTAATGACTAACGGTGTTAACCTTCGTTAGTCATTAATGGCATGTTGTGACATTTCCATAAAACTGAAGGTTATATGGTGTATTAGAAAGTTTTTGGTGGTATACGGTGAATTAAGCTTAAACTCAGTGGTATATGGTGAAATTTCCGTAAATTAAATAATTGAAATAGAGACTTGGGACCAAACCCTTAGAAATCAAACCTTTCACGTCCAGGGCGAAGAAAAATTCGAATTTGGCTAGGTGTGTCTAGATCTTGTGAATACGAAATTTTATATTTGAGAAAAGGCTAGTTTAGAAAAAAGAGAGAGAGAATCAAGAATTTCTTGATGAGAGTTGGTAAGAATTGATGATTAAAAACGGAGGTTTTAGGAGGCTATTTATAATAAAAATCAGCCGGAATATGATAAAAAAAGAATTAGAGTTTCCAAAAGAATAAAACACGATGCTGGCGCCAGACGACAAATGTGTCGCCGCGGTGCCAACCCTGTCGTCCGGCGCTGCAGGACAGTTTTTGCGAATTTTGTTTTTATCACATCTTTTTATCCAGAAGTTTAAATAAGGGATATAATATGTCGTTGGAAAGATCTTGAAGTTTAAATTCCAACACAATTGAAATCAGATTAAAATATTTTGTAGATAAAAAGATATGGCCGAAATAGTGGAAGGGTGTTAGTTGTGGATAGAGTTTCATATCTCATTCATATCTTTTTCGTTATAGCTCGGAATTAATATTATAATATATCATTGGGAAGATAATTTCAAGATCTTTCCAACCATATAAAATTTGGATAAATATTATGAGGCACGAAAATAAAATCTGAATATATTCCACTTCGTACAGAACAAGGATTCTAAAAAGGAGTAGTTTTATTCAATTTCAAACTCTTTGAAACATAATTATCAATCCTAACTCTATTAGGATTTAAGAGAAACTTCTAGAGTATTCTAGAAGACTATAATTAATCCTAATTGCATTAGAAATGATAAATCATAATAGGCCCTCCTCTAGATCATTGGGCCGTATGTAGAAACCAAACCGGGCCCAGTTTAGTATTTTGGTCATAACTTCCTCATTATTCATCGGAATTGGGCTTATAATATATCGTTGGAAATGTCATTTCAAGCCCCATCTAACTACACTATTATTGGACCTTTTTCATGGACCAAACTAAATTGGAATGCACGTTTTTTATAAATAGGGTAAGAAAAGAAATATTTTCAAAAACAGAAAGAAGAGATATTTTAATAAAAACATCCTCATCACTAGACTTTTCACACTTTCACTTCATTCGATTATGATTATACGTGAAAGGTACTCATCACCGGGTTTGGTTTTTGAGGAGACACAAATGGGTGTCTACAATAACCGAAGCTGAAAACCGGTTTAGACCTCTGGTTACCGATAACAATTACCGGTTTTGACCTCCGACTAACCATGGTAACCGAAGACCAAAATGGCAAAACCAGTTACCGTGGAGCTCCGGTTGATTATCAGTTCGTTTTCCGTCAAGCCACCTCGATCACCATTCATTTTTCGTCGACTTTTGCCATCGTTGTGGCTGTCCGGTGTAGAAGGTGGTGGCTGACACGGTTGTGGTTGATGGACTAATGTTAAAGAAAGAAAATGGGAAAAAAAAAATTAGTAAAGGAAAGATTGTCAGTTTGGTTTGAAATGATGGTGGTGACGATAAATTTGGATAGCGATATTTAACACCCTTTTTATAAAGGTTATATTTAAAGGATCGTGTTATACTTACCCTCGATGTATATAAGTATAATGTAGTTTCTAACTAAATTTTTAATTGAGCTGGTTATATTAATTAATTTATAATTTATCATATATTCTGATGAGTTGTGGTTACTCAAATTTTTGTTGATGTGTGTGTTGTTTAGTTGTACTACTTGTGTTTGCGGCCATATCTTTTTCTTATGGTGGGCCTGCGATGATCTATTATGACACCCTGAAAATTTCCTTCTTTAAGTTTACACTTTTTACTCTAAATAAAACTCTTTTTAGGAAATATCCAAATATTACCGGCACCGTGATAACGGCTAAGGCTAGTTTTCAAAGTCACACGGTGGAAGTCTAAAACAAAACCAACTTTCAAAACAAAACTTGTGTTCAAAACCTCAAAACAAAAGTAAGATTAAATAATTCACAAGTTGGAACCAATCCAAACATGATCCTTTTAATATCCAACTTAAAATAAACATAACAAAGTTAGCTCATAATCAATACTCTAATAAACAAATAATTCAAAATATAAAACTAGGAAAGAATAACAAGTAACTCTCAGCATTCATTCCCATCATCAGGGGCGGAGCCAGGGGGCTGGGTGGGCCATGGCCTCCCCCTTGGCTCAAAAGAAACATTAAAGTTTGCATACAATTAATATAAGCTTTACTGTAGAGGAGTTGGTTCTTGGCATGTTGACAGGCTCGAGTCGTATTCAACTAATAAAAAATAAACCTAAATCCACTAACTATGTAGATAGGGAAGAAGGGTCGAACCACAGGGAAACAAGTCAATTTACTCCTAATTAATTAAATGCAATCTAAATTATCAAGTAACAATTTATTGTAAAAAGGTAATTAAATACTAGAAGTAAGAGTAGGAAAGGAATAAAAAGGGTATAAATCAATGAAGGGAAACCTAAGACATAGGTTCACTAATAAACAATATTCCAGGGAAAATCATAATAAGCAATCATCAAGCATCAATTAATCAGATTATAAAGGGCTTTCGCTACTGTAGACACCTAAAAATGTCTCCCCAAAACCAAATCCGATGATGAACAACCTTTCACCGCCATTATTGGTCGGGTTGAGTATTTAATCTTGGAGTGATTAAATCCATATTTCCATTACATAACCAACCCAAATCCTATCTCATTTCCCCAAACCATAACTTATTTTCCTCTTTTCGTGCCTTTAAACCCAAATTAATTCATTTCGTGTCCTTTAAAATCACACGTATTCTTAGGTGCACACTCATGTACCTAGAAGTAGGTGTAACAACAGCATAATATGAACATTAGCTTTTCAAAAAGTGAACATTAGGTTTCTTCTCCTTTATTTTTCTCCTTCATTTTTTATTTTCTCTCTCCTCTGTTTTTTTAATTTTTCCCCTTTTTTACACTTTTTTGATTGAATTTGTTTCTTACAATATAGAAGTAGTTATTAAGTATGAATTTTTGTGTGAATTTCGATTTTGTGCTTTAATTTCGATTGATTAAGGTATATATGAATCTTTGAATTCACAAATTATACTCTATTTTTTCTCCTTCCTTAATTAATTCCTTTTTCCTCAGTTTTTTTTTTCTATTTTTCTCTTTTTTTCTATTTAACAAATGAATATGTTACTTACAATATGGAATTGGTTGTTTATCTGATTTTTTGAATTCATATGAATTGAATT